GCTTGGGCCGCAGCTTCTTTCTGGGAAGCTGCGGCTACTTCGCCGGCTCTAAGTCCCGACCTGGCTGACACTGCGGCGGATGCGGTCGCTGAGGCTGAACCCTTTCCGACTTCGATCAGCGGGATGCTTTTGCCATGACCAAGGCCATCGCTGGCGGACGCGGAACCCCAGACCAAGAGGCACGTTGCGAGCAGTGCTGGAATCTTCATCTTCGACGACGCTTCGCGGATTGATGATCGGCATCAGAACACGGACGGATTTATACCGTGGCAGACAGTTGTGCAAACATTATCCGCGTGGGTCGTTGGGGTTTTATTGAAAATATTGTTTCAGGAATTGTGGTCGTGGCTGAGAGCCGTGTTTTGTTAAGGGGCGGACGGGTATGCCGAGCTGAATTGGGAATTGATTAGGTTTACCTTTGCAATTTTAGCGAGGTTTGTGTACTGGTCGCGGGCACTTTGTTGTAGCGGGCATGTGGATGATCACGTGGCGAACGCTGTCGATTGATGCGGTGACCGGGATTTTTATTCAGGGTGGTGGAGATGTACACTTCGGTAATACTGGCAATTATATAAGGGATGCAGGGATTTTAGAAATTTGATAATTTAGGGTTTGAATGCTTGAAGATTTCAAATTTGGAAATTTATAAATTTGGCAAGTTGAGGATATAGGAATTCCGAAATTTGATAGTGTAACCTTTCGAAAATATGCTCGCAAAATAGATTTTCTACATTTTACAATCCTGACGCTACGCAGAGAAATCCAGGTTGTTCCTAAAACTACTGGACTTATCTCACTCTAGATAAAAAATATAATTCGACAAACGTACGTGTGCATACTGTGTTTATATATGTAGTAGCATATCTGGGCACCTTTTGTGCGATGAAGAAAGAAGACCAATGTTTGACTGAAGTTTCGCTTTCTTTCAAATTCAATTAAGATAAGAGATCAGTTTAAAGCAGTAGAATAATTGTATTTATGAATATCATGGAATTAAAGTGGTTTCATCGAACATTTGCACTTTTATTAAACGCCGTTAAAAGATTACGTTACGTAGATGACTCTAAGAGTATTTGAATCTTGCAAGATAGAAACGTGGAGTTATTTGGATCTGAGAATGCAGAAATCTGGAAATGTAGAAATTTAGGGATGCAGGGGTAGAGCTATAGGAATCTAAGGGTATATAGATCCAGGAGATATTTAGATCCAGAAACACAGAAATCTGAAGATATTTAAATGAGAGAGTATAAAGATCTAGTTTTTCACACGTGTCGTATTTATAGTATTGACATAGAAGTTCAGTAATATAACGCTGAAATACATGGATAGGACATAGGGATAAATTTAAAAACGTATCTCGTTATAATATATAAACATACATTAACTATTATATATTTCCTTATTTACCATACTAGGTTAACAAACAAAAACAGACCATATCTTTCAACAGATAATTTTATTTATCATTTTTGACAATAATACATAATTTTCTCCGCTATTAAATCCAAAACAGTTACAAATTCTGCAATATTCTCCCTGTCCCAAAATTGCAGTAAAAGAAAAGCTCCCGATTAAAATGACCACATCAAAGGACTCAAGGAAAAGAAAATAAAAGAACATCTCCAATGCTACAATTCTATATTTCAAACTTTTCTTCCGATCATATCTTCGCCATCAAGATAAATGCGCCCCATACATATTACTACAGATGCTTCATTTTTCCGCCGACCGCATTGTTCAGCGCTTTCGCCTGCGCCAAGTTGGACCCAGCAGTCAACGCCAATCCAACGACGGCTCCATCTCCGACAGCGTTCGAAGCCGAAGCTTTAGCCGCAGCTTCCGCCTCGATGATAGAAGCTCGCACGTCCGACATGGCCGAAGCGGTCATCACGTTTCTGGCCAGCATGCTGTTCTCCGCTGCCGCGTTCTCCGCCTGATCGGCTGCGGCCTTCTGCGCAGCGTTCGCACTCTTAGCAAGCTTTTTGGTGATCGCTTGCAGCTTTTCCAGCTTGATGCTGGCGGCAGACGCGGCTCCAGCAGCGTTCGCCGCCGTGGCCGTCGCTATTTTCGCTTTGATCGCTATGTTCTTCGAAACGACGGCCCTCTGGATCGAGTAATCTACAGCCGCTAGTTCGGCGGTCGCAGCCTTCACCACCTCTATGGCCAAAGCCGAAGCCTTCTGCTGCGCAGCGGTCGCAGCTTTCGCGGATATCTCTGCTTGTTTCAAAGCGGTACTCAAAGCGGAAATTGCGGCTTCAGCCTTGCAGGACGTTTCGGACCCGACGAGGCCAGCTTCCAAGGTGATTCGAGCTTGCTTGCTAGCTTTTGCTTGAGCAGCAGCCGCGATTGTGAGCGCCTTGATAGCCTTCTGCTCTGCCGCACTCGCAGCTGCGGCAGCCTGGGCTGCTCTCTTCTCCTTTTCGCTTATCTTTTCTTCAATGACCAACTCCTTCTTCCGGATGGCACGCTTCACGATGTTTACGACGTTCGACTGAAGCTTCCACCGAGCTTCCGCCTCGAGTTTCGCTTTGAGTTTCGCTCGCTCAGCTTCCTCGGTCTTGGCCTCGATCTCCTTGTGCATCACCACGAGAGCACGCTCTTCCGCCGTCTTCTTCGCCTCCGCTCTTGCTCGAGCTTTCGCCTCCGCCTCAGCTTTCTCCTCGGCACGCTTCAATTCCCTCTGCTGCTCCTTCAACTGCCGCCGCACTTCCTCCACCTCTTTCTCCGCTCTCGACCGGGCAATCGACTCCTGGCGAACGCGAGCCTCCGCTCGAGCTTTCTGCTCCTTCAGAATGTTTATCTCCGAGCTGGAACTGGACTTCGAACTGCTGCTCGAGCTGCTTTCCGTTATGATTACCTTCTTGCCTGATCCTTCATTTTTCACGTCTACCTTCGAGATGTCCAACCCTTTCCCGCTATTCAATTTTACATTTTTCTTCACGTCCGATTCTTTTACGATGTCTACCGACGACGACTCTGCCTTTCTGGAAGAAGAAGAAGAAGAAGAAGAAGACGAGATACTGGCGGTGGACGACTCCGGCTTTATGCTTCGCTTCTCTAATGCTGCGGCATTCTCCAAGGATCTCGGAGTTAAGTGATGCTCATCTTCGGCGATTAGTCTGCTCGCGCGTACGGACTCTTGATTTATCAGAGCCCAAGTGACGAAACATACGACGAATATCTTCATCGTCGATGGAGTAACGTGCATTGATCGCGGGATGCACGATTCGTCAATTATATACCGTGACGAACAGTTGTAATAACACCGCTGTTTTCCAACGACCGACGCGAGGGGTCGTCTGACTGCGAAAATAGGGAGCTTTGCATCTTCTTCGACATTCTCTTCCCAAAACGACGGCCCTCTGGATCGAGTAATCTACAGCCGCTAGTTCGGCGGTCGCAGCCTTCACCACCTCTATGGCCAAAGCCGAAGCCTTCTGCTGCGCAGCGGTCGCAGCTTTCGCGGATATCTCTGCTTGTTTCAAAGCGGTACTCAAAGCGGAAATTGCGGCTTCAGCCTTGCAGGACGTTTCGGACCCGACGAGGCCAGCTTCCAAGGTGATTCGAGCTTGCTTGCTAGCTTTTGCTTGAGCAGCAGCCGCGATTGTGAGCGCCTTGATAGCCTTCTGCTCTGCCGCACTCGCAGCTGCGGCAGCCTGGGCTGCTCTCTTCTCCTTTTCGCTTATCTTTTCTTCAATGACCAACTCCTTCTTCCGGATGGCACGCTTCACGATGTTTACGACGTTCGACTGAAGCTTCCACCGAGCTTCCGCCTCGAGTTTCGCTTTGAGTTTCGCTCGCTCAGCTTCCTCGGTCTTGGCCTCGATCTCCTTGTGCATCACCACGAGAGCACGCTCTTCCGCCGTCTTCTTCGCCTCCGCTCTTGCTCGAGCTTTCGCCTCCGCCTCAGCTTTCTCCTCGGCACGCTTCAATTCCCTCTGCTGCTCCTTCAACTGCCGCCGCACTTCCTCCACCTCTTTCTCCGCTCTCGACCGGGCAATCGACTCCTGGCGAACGCGAGCCTCCGCTCGAGCTTTCTGCTCCTTCAGAATGTTTATCTCCGAGCTGGAACTGGACTTCGAACTGCTGCTCGAGCTGCTTTCCGTTATGATTACCTTCTTGCCTGATCCTTCATTTTTCACGTCTACCTTCGAGATGTCCAACCCTTTCCCGCTATTCAATTTTACATTTTTCTTCACGTCCGATTCTTTTACGATGTCTACCGACGACGACTCTGCCTTTCTGGAAGAAGAAGAAGAAGAAGAAGAAGACGAGATACTGGCGGTGGACGACTCCGGCTTTATGCTTCGCTTCTCTAATGCTGCGGCATTCTCCAAGGATCTCGGAGTTAAGTGATGCTCATCTTCGGCGATTAGTCTGCTCGCGCGTACGGACTCTTGATTTATCAGAGCCCAAGTGACGAAACATACGACGAATATCTTCATCGTCGATGGAGTAACGTGCATTGATCGCGGGATGCACGATTCGTCAATTATATACCGTGACGAACAGTTGTAATAACACCGCTGTTTTCCAACGACCGACGCGAGGGGTCGTCTGACTGCGAAAATAGGGAGCTTTGCATCTTCTTCGACATTCTCTTCCCAACTTTATTTCTATATCGCGGAAAATAAACGGATTTCATGATGCAGGAGATTTCTATTCGAAGCAGAAAAATTTTATGAAGCAGAAAAATGAAAGGATTTGTTTGTATGTAAGGAAATGGAAGGATTTTTGTATGTAAGGAAATGAAAGGATCTTTACGAAGGTAAAAGGAAGGAAATGAAAGAATTCTTTTTATAAAAGGTTTTTATTATACATCGAGTTTTACGATTTGGGTTGCACGTGTAAGATCGTTCCTCTATTTTATTGAAACAAAGGAACAGGTCTTGTACCGCGATAACGGTGATTCGAAAAAGTGGGTCGACAGAGAACAATTCGCAGCTCGTAGCCTGAAGAGTTCTGGAACGGACACCTCTTCGTGTTTTATCATATACTGTCTCGATGTCTGGCACTTCCTTAAATAAAGCTCCGTGTAATAACAACGTTGCAGACAGCCTCACCCCACTACCCGACAGTTTTTTCAAAATGTATTGTTTTTTCTGTGCGCCGAGCCTGGTTGCAATTGTATTTTTTTGTCTTGTTTCCTTGCCATCGTGTCACGATCTTTCAGATTTTTCCAAGATGAACATTTTTTATGCTAAATAAAACGAAAAAGTATTATGAATAACAGAAGGTAACGGAAGATATCTTACGAGGTTTAATCAATTTTTTAATGTTAATTGTACAATTTTGTAAATTTATAATTTTATACAATAATTTTGTACTTGATTCTCGAACGCGTTTTTATGAATGCTACGAATATTATTAGGATATTAATGTAGTAGAGTGTGGACGAATATTTTTTGTACAGAAGATCAGTTTTACTATGAATTAAAAAAACTAAAAAGAACCGTAATCCTTCCGGACCCATCACTTATATACGTTCTCGCTGTTTATATTTTACCTTCGAGGAGTGGGAGTTGATCGAACGAGTTCGATTTGCATTGGTAAAAATTAGTCGAAACTTTTTTGGCAATTAAAACTACGCCTAATACTGTACTTTGTTAACTTTTATTATACACTGATAATATTTGAGGACTCTTAATATTTATGACAGTGCTAAAATATTGACAATATTGCATCGTCAAAATGTTCATAATATTGTGTTGTTAATACTGAAATATTGTTATACCAATGTTGTACCAATATAAACACAGTATTTCAGATTATTTGCTTCTTTCATTTCTTGAATAATCTTGAAGATCATATGAGTGAATATATCTTGACATACTAGTGTATCTCTTGACACTCACTGTCACATAAATTTTAAAAAATATACTCAATTAAAAAATCCAAAAATTACCCTGAAGTAATAATTTAAATACAAAAACTTGATACAGGTTTTCTCTCTTATTTTTATTCTTACCAAAAAAACATTGGTCCATATTGCAGACAGATGTTTCTATGTCCACTAAAAGTACTTCAACACTTTAACATTTATAGCAAACAAATCGCCTCAGTCTGCATTTGTCTCGAGAGATGCTGTATAATTTTCGTTCCTTTCCAGAAGAAAAAATGTTACGAATGCTCTGAATCACCATAACGATCGACACGTTGTTAAAGCGATGTTGTAAATCCGGAATGTCAGGTTCAACTTAAGTTGCAACCAGTTGTCTGCTTGGTAACATCGAACGAAAGGTCTCGGAGTATTCCAGGAAAGGTGGAGGCCAACGTATCGACTTATGGGGGTCACCGGTGACCAAACGCTACGAATTTTAATTCGAAGCAATTAAAAAAATGATGCAAAAAAAGAACATGTGGAATTCTACCAAAATTACTCTTGCATTTCGAAATAAATTTGGAGATTAAATTTTTAGGAATTGATAATTGTTGATGGTTAATAATTAATTAATGTGTGTATGTACATATGTATGTGCATATGTTACATTCAAGATGGAGGTGTATACATGTGTACATACATATGCACATACATATGTTATATTCAAGATATATGTATACACATATATACACACATATGTTATATTCAAGATGTATATATATACATGTGTACATACATATGTTATATTCAAGATGCATGTATACACATATGTATATACATATGTATAACATTAAAGACATTAGTAATTATTAAAAAAAACTATTCAATTTTAGAATTGAATGCTTTAATGTATACTTGTGATAAAATGTAACATTTGATTTGGTTAAATATTTTAAATTAATGAATATTGAATATGACAAATATTGTACACATGTCGTTAAAATAATACTACTTTCAAGTTTTCACTACTTAAAGTTTTAAACCAATTTTTTTAATAATACTTTCAAGTAGAAAATTGGAAAATTTAATTTTTAGAAGAATCATCGATATTCTTGGTAAATGATATAATTTTGTATCTAAGCAGTGACTGCAAGTGACTGAAGCATCATATAACAAAAGTTTCACTTAAATTATAATCTAGTTATTATAACACGTCAATTACTATCGTATTTCATCTGTATCTACAAATTTCCCAATGTCGCCATGTATTTTGCAGTGCGTCTGCTGATACCAGAAACGATAAAGAGAAGGTCACTCTTTGTTCCTTTTACTGTCTTGCAAACTGAAAACATTATTTTAGCAGTTTGACGGGTGTTGTTAAAAAAATGTTACAAAGATGAAACACTGTCGATCATTATTTATTATATTTCATTATAGTCAAATTCGGTTCTTGAATAATTTTTAAAGAGTCTAATTTTTAAAGAATTTTAAAGAGATCAATTTTTAAAGAGCTTTAAACAGTTCAATTTTTATAAAACTTGTCAATAGAGTGACATATAAAACAAATCAATAAGCTTAATATATGATATTGCATACATTGATCGATTAATACTAAGAGATTTTTATAAATCTTGTCAATAGAGTGACATTTAAAATAAATCAATAAACTTAATATATGATGTTGCATACATTGATAGATTAATATTAAAAGATTTTTATAAAACTTGTCAATAGAGTGACATATAAAACAAATCAATAAACTTAATATACAATGTTGCATAAATTAATAGATTAATATTAAGTTCTACAGATATAAAAATTTCTATTAATATAAAAATTCTTCAATATTTATGTATTTACTTATTAATACAACATAACACATACCCGCTTCTCAATATCCCAAATTAAAAAACAAGTGACCGTTCAAGACATTAAATCACATGAAATCATTGACACAAAAAATCCTTATAAATCCAAGAATCCGTCGGCTATAAATTCCCTTTCACCGATACGAAACGTTAGTTATATGTTAAGCGTAGTAACATTTCCAGAATGAAAAATTAGTCCGAGTATACGAGCACCTGTGCGGGTGCAATTCAACTAGATCGGAACATTGCTCGTGTATGCAACAATGCAACGATATCCGGTTACCGGCTTCTGTAAAAATTACATTAACCGCATATCCGGCACAAAGTCACATTTGTTCTTTGCACGCGCAAATTATTTTAATCTGGTCGTTTGATTTCCGCAATTTTTTTTTTATCAAGCGTGCTCCGGATGTACTTTTACCAGAGAATACGCAAACGGTATAAACTGTGTAAAAAGTATAAAAGTCAATATAAAAGTACGAGTGTGTAAAAGTAATTTTGAAAGTGTTTAAGGAGAATTTATCTGGTCTTTATTTGTTGTGTAATTTTGATAGTGCAATTTTTTATTGGACGCTTTCTTTTAATGCATCTGTTGACTTGAGGTTTTTCTTCTCTTTATTTGAGATAAGAAATTGCTGATTTTATAGTAAATGGCGGTGCAGGACTAGAAATACACTAAAGTACATAACTGACAAATATCTTTATTATAATCCAGAATGAAACTCTGAAAGCTATGTTATCATACTTGTTGATAAACATTGAATAAACATGTATTATATAACAATGTAAATCCGATGAACTGGTAGATAAACTAGTAACCGCTACGGTGTAAAATTGGAAAGTTTATTCTAGAATGTTCTCCAGTAGAGAGAAATGAAATCAGCAAAATTTAGTGGCGTGTAAATATTACAATCTTACACTATGTTTCTATACCGACTTCTTGTTTCCGTGAATTCACGTAAGGAGGTAAACCGTTTAGAAATCAGTCATACGTGATTTCGTTTCACCTTGGCAATAAAAATCTATTTTGTCAATTTTATAAATCATTAATCATTATAATTTTATAGATAATTAATTTTATGCTACATAACATTTGTATGAAATTGTTAGCATTCGACAACAATGACCACGTTTAGTATGGTACAGTATAATAAATTAAATAAAAGATGTAACAAAATTTATCTAGAGTTTTAATCTCATACTTCAATTTCACATTTTAAATTATTATACTTCTGGTAATTTGTGTAATAAAAATAATAGTAATAGCAATATTATTAATTATTAATTAATACATACCAAGGGTGCCAGTTATAATATTTAATAATATTATTGCCAATTACTAGTAGTAATTTTGTTAGTCAATATTTAGTGAACAATAATAGTTAATTACCAAGTAGCTAATTACAACTGGTACCAATTTCACAAATATCTAAAATCTTCCACCTAATCAACTAATTACAAATTATATAATTGTTCGCTACAGTCCCACGCTAAATTAGTCGAAAATCTCATCAACTTTCATCTCAATAAATCTAAACAATTATTCCGCGATTATCTGCAAACTTTCTTAAAAAAAATTTTGTTCAATAATTGAGGATCGGCAATAGAATCGTTAATCAACGGAAAGCGTTTGTTGCATAGGTGATCGGTGTGCCAGTTAAACACTATCTTAAACGATATCTCGTTACATATCGGATACGATCTTATCATTGCCGTTTAAGAAACTGGGACAACGACTAGATATTATCTAGCCGGACGTGTCTTCAAAAAATGTCCCGACGCTCGAGATTTCACGTGTTGTTTCTCGTTTTACACGCTCGTATACGCGTGGTCGTCGATCGTGAAAAGGTGAAAGCAGATCGCGTGGAATAATCCTTGAATAGTCACGATCATTTTTTTTCTCCCTGTTTTCTTTTCCATTCGTCACCAGACACAAAGGCGCCGCGTGAAACCACCGACAAGAAAAACGATTTTGCAATCGGTCGCGCGTTAGAATCTGACACGCGTTCGCTGATTCTTCCTAATACGCGTTGCACATTTCAATGGAACAGGAATTACGATCTACGAATATCACTTCGAATTTTTAATCATCTTTTGTCAAAAGTTCTATCATTCAGATGCAACTCTTTTGGTACAAATTTAATTTCGAACATCAATTTTTAAAATATTACGAAGCGATACCATTTTGTCATTTTTAAACTCCTTATTTGTAATTTTTTAATATAGTCATTCGTCTTTTAATATAGTCTTTGATATAGTTTTAATTCTCAACGTATTCAAATGTACTAATTTTTAGAAAATTGTTATTGTCTCTAACCGAGGTAGATTTTGTAACATCAAGCATGGAACCTCCAAGACCGCCATGTAGAATCACCAATGAAAGTATGTTACACTTTGCTACCACGTTGAGAGCATTTGTAATTTTTTAAATGATACACCAAACGTATCAATTTCTAAAGAATTGTTATAGTCTCTAACCGAAGTAGTTTTTGTAACAATATTGAAATCTCCGAGACCGCCATTTTGGATCACCAATGAAAGTACCTTCCACTTTTATTTACCTAAGTAAATTTTTGTAAAAATTCATGAATGAATGATTAAACAATTAAAATTTAACTGAGACCCGTCTCTAAAAGCTAAACATTTAAATTTAATTATTTTAAAATTGAAATAAAATGCAAACTATCTTTGGTACCAGAGTTAAAAATAACATTATTCAACGTGTATTTATCGAGGAAAATTTACATGTATATGTTTATTTAACATCCACCTGTAAGAACGAAAATATTTCCACAACTGAAGGAACATTATATCACGAGATATAAAAAATACAATATTTTTGTAAGTGTTTGAGGAACCTGCAAAGAAAACCAACGACAGTGTACATATTTATCGACCGAGATAATTATACCGAATGATTAAAAATTGTTAAAACATTTCATCGAAAACATTGTGTTGATTGCTTTAATTAATATGTTCTGCGAATGTTTTGGATTGTTGTTATCAGTGATAATATTAATTTTAATTTCTGGTATTAATTATGGTATTGATATTGATATTTATTTGGTAGTACTTAATTTGAATGACGACATTTTCTTGTGAAATCTTGCTGAAATTGCATCAGCAAATGATGTAAAATTATCCTAAAAAATAGTTGTTGTAATTAAAACAAAATACAATATGTAGAAGAAAGAATATAAACATTATTATCTATATTAGTTCTTTGTATTAGTTACATATTAGTCATTGGTGATTTTTCAACAAGGAAAAGAAAACGAAACATGTATTACAAATATATTAGACAGAAAAAAATAATTGTAAAAGATAAATAATATAAATAATAAGTTCAAATAAAATTCAAATAAAAATTAATTCAAGATAAATAAAAATTTTCACATAATCAAAAAAGCAATTTTATCTTATCTATCATTATGTATACATTTTACAAATAAATATAAATGCATATAATGCTTGATAATTACTAGAACAATTAATAAATAAATTTGCTACAAACCGAAATCTTGTTTCTTTATTTATTATAAAATAAAAATGTTCTGAAGAATAGTTTAGAATGTTCTTGTTCACGTAGGTGTACCCCGCGTTTGTATTCAAGTAATTTATCGTCGAATCGATGAAAGGTAACTGATTTGTTAAGATTGCTTCTGTGTACAAATGCGTTGTAAGAACCCACTTTACCGCGATTCAATTGCACTAACTGTCCAGCTAAAATGGTGCCAATCCTCTTCCGGTTTACCTTCTCTCACATTACTCTTTTCACCGCAGACAAAACTCTTTTTCAATAATGCATTTACTACTGTTCCAACGCACTCGTCGTTTCACGTCCAACTTAAAATCAAACTTATTAAATCGTTATAAAATTATCAGTAAGTTCAATTTAAAACAAATTAATCATTAAAGATAAAATGATGGTCGAAATAAAATCGAATAAATAAAAATTTGCCAACTGAATAAAATGAAACTGAAATGCAACAGAGTCGAATAAATAAAAATTTACCTACGACTGAATAAAATGAAAATGAAATGCAACGACGCAGACAAAATGGAGACAGAAATTTAAATATTTTAATGTTGCGAATGTTGCAACAGAAGATTTCTCTTCGTCCAGACACGCCTTGTATATTCGTTCGACGAGAAAAAAGCATACGCAGATACACTGAAGTGACTTTTCATGGAATTCTATGAATGACAAGTCGGACTTTCCCACGGGATAAACGTTCTTCCGTGCTTCAATGTCAAAAGTAACGCACAGGAATGAATAAATCTTGCGTTCCATTTTTTTCCTCTTAACAAGGACGCTACAATTGCACATGAATCAGTTCGTTTATACTAAAAAAATAGACCTCGTAGATGTTTACTGTTACTTGTAATCAATTTACCTTGGTAATCATTGTTACGATAGCCGTGACTTTAGAATGCAATATATTACGTCATACTTCCACTTACTGGTTAGTTCCATTATTAAAATCTGGTCATTTTCTATTCTTAGTCTCTGTTTCCATATTTCTGAATTTCTGAATTTACCAACTTTTAAATTTCATAATTTGAGGAAATTGAAAGTAATCCCCTGTAATTTTTAGTTACTTTTCAATCATAAAGTGGTAGCAGTCTCTTTCATTTTGGAGCAGTAAAAATCATGAAAATTATTTCAACGAAAACAAATGAATCATTCCTATAATGGTTCGTAAGTTTCGTAAGAAACGTTTGCACAAGCATGCTTTTTCGCAAAAACGGTTTAGTCATTAAGTTTGATCAAAGGGTTTAATGTACCATATCTCCATCGGCCAAAAAGAAATAAAAAAGAACCATCGATAATATTAGAGAGCACCGTATCCATTCTGTTGAAACAGAGATAACGTCGTGTCGAAAGAACACATTGTTCGGTTAAAATGAATCCTCTGATGGACAATTAAGGGGCAGGATCCGTAACTACAACATTAGCTTTCTGACCACCAATCAGGTACCTTGTAATCATGTAACTTGCCCTTGGCATAATTTCGGTTTCTATTATTATTTCATTGTTAGGTACTGAGAAACTTCTCAAGTTACTCGTTACAGGTACAATTAATAGTATCGTAATGGACATCAACCTGTGTTTAATACTTTCTTGTCATTTACGACTAAATAATTAACAACGATTTCCACGTTAATGCCACGTTAGTAAAACACGCATCCAAAATGATTTATTCTAATAACATAGTCAAACCCATAACCCTTATTCCCAAATTTCCAACATTTCTTATAGAGGGGTTATCTATAAATTGGCGAAGAAGTTACGTTTTTACGAATATTTGATTATACATCTCTTACATATGTAATTAAAATTATGTTAAACAACATATTAATTATTTTTTCAATGTATAAAAATTATTATTGATCAGGATGTTAATTTAATCATGCTTGACAAAAACTATATAACTTTTTGACTAATCTAATATTTAGAAATAGTATTCTTTTCACAAAAAAGAAAAAGAAGAATGAAATACTTCCTTTGGAAAGCATTATAAAGATATACAGGAAATTCTGAATTAACAGGAGCTGTAAAATATTAATTAGAAACTGATTGGTGTTAATCATATCATGTTTCTGGTGAAAGTTACTTTTACCTAATGGCTATTTAATACTGATTAAGACAGGAAGACATTTTATCACCCATTAAAAACAAGACAACTGCGTATTTCAATGAATATATACATATATTATTTTACATTCTAAATACATATTATCATATTACTTTTCAATGTGTAAATGTTAATTCTAGGTTCTTAAGAGTACAAATTGAATACATACAAGCTCGAATAGTAACCTAAAGCTAACATGTTTTTATACATATGTATTAGAAATAAAGATAGAAAGCTAAATTATGAACAGAGACACTATTGGGTAACTACATACAAGATAAATTATGAGAATTCTATAATATACCGTTCACATATATCATTAACTACAATGTGTTCCCACATAGGAATCTTTGATACACAATATACAGAATAAGTGTAAATTATTGAAACTGATAAATGTGTAACCTTTATACAAGACAACAATATCCAAGTAGAAATAAAGTTTTCATATTGATGTGAGACCTATTACATTTTGCTTACTAATAATAGTAAAACTCGAATTAAAACTTATTCTTCATTATGATAATAAATCTCCATCTGAGTACCAATTTTCTATTTAATACAGTCCTATCTCTCAATGCAACATTTACATAAAATAAAAATACGTTAAGTCAGTTAAACTCTAACTTGAATTTAAGTAGTGAGCTACAAATTTTGTGTCCCAATTTTGGAATTACAATAAGTAATCTTTCAAACAAAAAAAACTTACTGAACATTTTTAATAGTAAATACATGTTCCAAAACATGTTGATATTTTTACATAAAACTCCACTTCGCGATTTTTATTACAATCTGTAAAAAGTAAAATAAGTGGACATTTTTGTTTTTCTTAATATTATAATATTCAAAGCATAGTAAATGTAGTTATTAAAAATTTGCATATCTATACTTTGTTAAAAACCATTTTTAAAGATGCTAACAATTAAAAATATTTATGCATCTTGATAAATTAAAATTAACAATTAATGTCCATTTATTTAAACCTTTCACTTTGTAATGCAAATACAAAGATGATACTAACGCGTATAATTTTAAGAGTACGATTTACATTCGCGTTTTTAAAAAATGCATATATTTCGTAATTTTGTTACCTAAAATGCGGTAGAAAGATTTTGGTACCGTTACAAAATATTAATTACATGGAGAAGAGATAGTGACATTTATCGCAAAAGAAAAATATGGATAATGAATGCTTTCCAATATATAACAAAGAACGTTTGTAGTGTATACATTTAATGACTAGTGTTTTATTCAAATACGTTGTCTATAATTTATGCTGTATGTAAATTTATATAATTTAATTAAAAATATATATATACATGCATTATTTACACACATATATATGTATATGTTTCCTTAGATAACAAACGTATTTAAATTTTTGTTCGTATCACTTTCAAAGAAAACATGTCTGAAATATACAGAGAGAAAATATTTCCTTATTGAACTTAAATTTTTATCTTTTTTTTTAGAAATATTTTCGTATGTAAAACAGTACTTTGAACTAAGTTAGGTAATTTACCATATTTCCAATTTTCTTTTGCTTTTATAGTGAAATATTATAAATATTGTTCATATAATTATCTTTATTGAAATTGTAGAAGATACTTTGGTATTTTAAATCTGTATATATCACCTAATACAACCTACCGAATTTATAAACCTTAGTACTTGTAAATAGAATTATAAATATTAATAGGCAAGATGAGAAGACCTAAAATTTATGCTTTTATAAATTTTTAATAAAAATAAATATATGGTGGTCATCATTCAATATTCCAAAGTAATTTGAAAAATTTAATTTTTCTACTTTAAACAATATTGAATTTAAAGCAAAATGCTCTATGCTCTATTCATTCACAGCCTATTTTGTCAATGTGGAAGACTTATTATGCATATTTTCTTCCACGATAATACATCACTTCTTCTCCTATCCTATATGTTTCAGGTTTTGATGATAGAGTTACCTTGACAGTACAATGAATAAAAATTTCATTCAATACATGCAAATCGTTCTTGCCAAATATGAGTCCTGTGTTGTACAGTTAAAACTGGATTAAGAACACGTTCTATGCAATTTATGCGGCCTTTGAATCTTTCTCTATCTCTAGCCATCTCTTCCCATGGACCTTTTCGAGCTGCGCGATACGCATAATCCCACTGTACCATTACGTGAACAACTGGATTTAAATTAAATTTTACCTACAGCAAAATCTCAATTATTTATCAATTCGAAATAAAAATAAGAAGCTTTAAAAAGTAGCTAATTACCCTAGGAGTAGGAAACAAGAATTCTTTATCTGTACATGTATCTTCATCTTCGCTTATTTGGTCTGTATCGCTATCTTCAGTGTCCTCAAAGTCACTATCGTGAATTTCTTCGGAACCAGTTTCAAAGACTATGCAGTAACTGTCTTCTGAATCAATAGAACTTTCTGATATTAAACGTGGCCGAAATGTATTTTTTCGAAAATCGTATCCATTGTCAATAATATCCTGATCAAAGGCATTTGCTTTGTTTGTGCACTCAGGTATAAATCTCATTTTTGTAGAAAATTTACACATTCTTTGATCAACATTTCTACGTGCTCTTGACTTCTGAGTTTTCTTAGGTTGTATGTCAGCAAATGTAAACGTTGCTGGATGAATTGCTTCCTTCATAGAACACTGCATGGAATCTAATCCATCTACTGTATCTTCATCAAAATTAGAACAGTTTTCCAATTCATTGTTTTCATTTGTATCATACATATCAAGTTCTTCCCAATTCTTTAAATCACTTTCTATAGCTAATTTGAGATCATGTTTAGTGCGTTCCTTTCTGTGTCGTGTTTGACTTACTCCAGAACGTCTAAGCTGTGACTTAGCCCGTCCTCTACCTCTGCCTTTCGCTATAGTATTTAATTTTTTTCTTTGCTTCGGTGAACATGATCGTTTTGTTAATAGATCGGATTCTTCCGAATCTATTCTACAAAATCGATCTGTTACGCTACAAAATTTTTCCCACATATTTAATAAATTTGACTTTGTTGTTTGAGGAACTGAAGGTGGTCTTTCAATATTCGAACTAGATGTTGAAAAAGTAGTATCCTCGTTTCTGAATATATTATCTGCATCGATAGTAACATAATCAGAAAACTGTTCGTTATTCTCAATATTACTATCATGAATATGTTTGCAATTATTATCAATAGCCTTGTCATGTGTTTTATGTACATTTGTATCAGAATAAATATGTTTGAACAATTCGTCTTGTCCTCCCATATCTGTACTTTGAAGTGGTAGCAAGTAATTAAATTTAGTTGTGTTATTTACAACATTCTCCTTCATGAATGACTCTTTCTCACCACACTTTTTTACATCCCTATTTTCATTATCAATACATTTATAATCAAATCCTATACTATCTTTTGCATCTTCATTAAAAATTCTATCTACGTAAGATTTCTTTTCATGTACATCACGATGAATACTTTCAATAATGTTTAAAGATTCTTTTAGTTGGGCATTACAAATATATACATTATCATTATTTAATAATTCCTTTTTAGATGTCAAATTTTTGTAAAATTCAGGTGAAATTATACCTTCATTGTGCACAACTGTTACAGACAATGGATAATTGGTATTTGTTATGAAGGAAAAGGGAACTCTAGAGACTCGTTCCCATAAACCATTAAAAACATTCCAGACATTGTGGAGCATATTGTCCTTCTTTGGATTGGACATGTTTGTTTTACTATTCAATGTATCACTTATTGAATACATTTCTTCTACTGTTGATTTTCCAAATAAACTTTGTATAGAATTGAAATCTTACAGGAGAACAAAAAAGATTGTTAAACAACGAACGCTGAATTTGAAAAACCAATCTATGTTTGCAATAGGCCACATGTTTCCAAATCTATACCTTTCTCAACAAATTGGTACTCCTTTACCACTTCTTCTACTTCTCAGAATTGTTCTCTGTTTCACTGTGGAAAAAAATTAAATATATTTAAAACATCTCAATACTTTACTTCTTGATAAAAAATACTTAAAAAACATTTAGTCATCAATAACAAGTAAAAATTCCTGGAATGTACGTTCATATTATAATATACCTTGTCTGTACCAAAATAACTCTTATTCATTTTTCGTTTAAATATTCATAATTTTGTTTCTATTTTGAAGAGAATTTTTGATACATTATAATATTGAAAATCCATGTTTTAATATCTTCGTTTATTTAAAATTAAATATATGAATCATATTGAATTCTATAGTATCCACTTATGAATCAATACAACGTTTACTATCATAATGCGAATAATCAAGGATTTATCGCGTACATTCCAGACAACGACATATATAGTTAATATAGAAATCTTAAAGTATCGAAAAAAATGCAAAATAATATTTTGAATGTTAAATTTATCGTTATAGTACTGCTATCTTTTGCAATAAACATCTAATTGATAATTTGTACTGCATACATACAACAAAGATAGCCTCCACAACCGTGACAACTACAATCACGTAGGAATTTTTCCTTACAATATGACAATTGTTTTCTTGCTGTACCACACTTTTTATCTTTAAACAGAGGATTTTTGATCAATTCTGTTATTTCGGATACAGTAATTTGCTTCGATTTTTCGGTAATTTCGTAAGATTCCATTGTAATATCACTCGTTATCAGATCACACATTTTGACGAAACTGTTAAGCGGCCATTTTCAACTAGAAGATACTCAAACTGTTTGTAACTTGTAAATAGAGGCGCTGCTGTGAACACGATTTATATACTATACTAAATTATACTTTATTTGACGGAAGATTGTAAAATAATTTTTTATAATTATTATAATGAAGATGCAATATTATTTTAACGAAAATGAATTGTATTTTATATATTTTGTTTAAAAAAAAAAAACTAATGCAATTTGATTATAAACAGTATTTGAATATTCAAGGACATGTATAGTAAAATTATGTAATTTTGCAATAATGTATCATTTCTAATGAACTGATTCATAACATAACTGACGAAATCTCAGTCCTTTTTGCGAAAAACCTTTCACTTTCATACTGCATGTAAATTATGAACTAGATATATTTATTTGATGTAAACAGTGTTAACAAATCTAATAACAAGTTTTATACCCAACAGGTACATACAGTGCCATATACAATTTATACGATTGCTAATTACCTATTATTAAAAATACTTCTTTAACTAATTAATGTTCTAATACATTTCCATGAATGTAACAAATTTATAATTGTAATTTATTTTACATTAAATGCATACAATACATAAAAAATAGCAGAACATGTATAATTTACTATCTTGAAATATGAATTGTTTACAAGTACTGCACCCCGATACCAAACTGGAATTGTCGTAGTACGTCACTTCTAAGGAATAATAATGGCATAATAAAATTCAATTCAACTCTAGCTATATTTCCAAGTTTCATCGCAATACCCCCACCCGCTGAACAACGAACATTCTCCGTAAAAATTTTCATGTTGTCTTTATAATTGTCATCTGAAAATAACGAGATATCAATTATCAACAGTTCCATTAGTAAAAGAAATCAAAACACTTATTGTAAAAAGCTTCGTACCAAATTTGAATGTAAAATTCGATACATTTCCACCGTTGATAAAACCATGTAACTTGAATAAGTCACCGAATCCATTACGACCAGGCCTAAATGGAAGTGGTGTATATAAGTGAAGTGCGACAGCCCAATACGCATCGCCTCCAATTGAATAACCATCGTCTCGTGGTCCACAACCTCTCATTTCAAATCCTCTAAGATTCAATGGACCACCCAAAAAGAATTGATCAGCAATATTTACTTTCATTTCATTATTAATTCCTCTGAGCAATCCAGATTGAAGACCCAGTTGAAATGTCTAAATATTAAAATTTTTATAGTAAGAAGTTGTAAAGAAATTATATCAATTGGAAATGTGTCCGTACGTTGAATGATACTTACAAAATATTCATGTGGTGTCCAATTAGTTTGCATGATAAGTTCGTTTTTAACGAATCCAATATCACCGCCAAGACCAGCTACTTCTGTTGAAAACTGTACAAAACTACCGGCAGTTGGAAATAATAATGAGTCTCTTTTATCGATGCAGCAAATATGCCGCAAAGCGGATTTTAAATTTGGGCCGCACTGCTCTCGAACACGAAACGATGTTTGTTTGGAAGAAACAATTTCTCTATAATTAGCTTCATACTGTAAATTATGCTTCAATATACCTGCACCATCTGGATTAAGTGCAAAGTCTAATAAAAGGCCTTTATCATATTGATTAAAACCAGACCATGGAAATCTATTGAATGTGTTGAATACACTAGTAGTTAATCTGCAGAAGAAAACAATTTAAAAAATAGTAAATATATTTAATTTCTTAAGTGATATTAATGTTTAAATTTTTAAATAGGAATGATGTTACATACACCGTATGAAGCCAACTATTTACAAATGGTTTAACAAGAGATACGCTTATATTGGTGGAACTTTTAGAACCATAAGAGTATTCCATTTGCAAGTGTTCTCCTCTTCCACATAAATTTGGTGCTTTCGCTTGAATAATTACGGAACCTTCATTATTTCCAACCATGGTATTAATCCCACCTGTCAGACGTCTCATTTCATGAACAGAAAAGGTGACCTGAAACAGAATACAACATAAGATTTCTCTCAGGAATAGACATCAAGTTTTAAACAGGTGATTCATCAATGAACTGAAAATAATTAAATCTGAGAAATTACTTATTTTCTGTTGAATTATTGTGTAATTATATAGACCCACTTCAACGCCTTCTGGGGTAGCATCAGGACCTTGACTGGTATCAATGAAAATTCCAATATTTTTGAAACATCCTAAAGACCGTAGTTTTTCTTTAACTCTGGAGGCACGTAAAAGAACTTCGTAAAAATCCTTAGCTTTGAATAGTTCAGTAACTTGTGACTTTATTATATCATCCTTTGTCCTACCAAGCCCATCCACATGTATTTTATCAACTCTTACCTAGTTTACAAAATATTAATGTTTAATTTATTTATAATTATTGCACATAAATTAAAGTTTTAATATGTAAGTAACAAACATACTTTCACGGCATGTAGGTCAACATGTTCTTCTTTTGTAGTGTCAAATAAATTCAGTTTTCTACGAAAATTTGATGACTGAAAATAAAAATTTTTAAGTTATTAAGTATTCTTCGAATGATAATCAGTGTATAAAAGAAACATAGATTATTGTTTTGTATAAAATCCAAACAATATTACTTACAGGATTATTTCCCTTGAAATTCTGTTTTCCACTACTTTCACTGGAAGTTTCATTCATGTTTTCAGATATCTTTGATTCCTAAAATGAAAGAGCATATATGATATTAATGACAATTTTTTATATCAAATTTAATAGAAAAATATAATATAAGTAAAATGACATACTACAAAATTAAAAGAAACAAACTTAACACGACATAAAATACAACTTTTCACTAAAACACCACACTTGAATAAATTATTATTAGAAATTACTTCATGCTGCAAATTAATGACTTTAATTTTAGGTTATTCCGTAATTTTCTAATAATAAGCTTTTACCTTGGCATGAACGGTTCCCATTTTTTTACGATAAATTTTGATTACTCGAATAAGAAATCACATTAAAAGTAATAGCAAATTTTGTCAGGTTTCTTTCAACACCTGACAAAGAATTGTAAATTTTTTAAATTAAATATTCAGAACGGTTAAGAACAAGCAGTACAGCGTTTTCATTACCGGTGTCATAGACAAAGTGTAATATAGACCAACCACCTTGTAAGAGTTTATATTATCATAGATAAGATACAAGAATAGATCTATCATTGTATGAAATTTCGTGCCCTGATTTACTAATTTACCGATTGTGTAAAAGAATCAGACATAAGAGATCCTCTAACCAGAGGACCTTAGTCGTTCGACTGAACTTAGATAGCAGATTTATTCGCAATTTGTGACGTCATATAAGACTTTTTTATTTCAACAAGATCTTCATCGAGCAAATGCTTGAACAAATTAAAACCAATATCCAGTGCCGCCGCTAGTATCAGGCAAATAATGCACTTTGTGTGGGCCCCGCGTTCAGAAAGTCTATAGACTTAAATTTTCAAACCTTCCAATCTTTCAAATCCTATGCTTTTTATATTTATCAATCCTGAAATTTCTAATTTCTACAATTCCAAATTTTCAAGTCTGAATATTTAAATATTTAAATGTTGTGTTTAGAAATACATGTCAATGGTCATCACTATCATATTGCAACATCGAATAACATAAAAAATAATGTTGACTCTTGATACGGGCTCTGCAAACTCCTGCAACTACACGGCTCTGCCAATGTCTTACGTGTTTAACATCGGAAAAAGGTGATGGTAGGGTTATCTCGATTATGTATATATATATATGTATACAACATTAAAAAGACCAGTTACATAGTGTCAGATATCGTGTAACTAGCACTTCTGTCGCGAGATTTGCACAGTATACTTTATAAATTGCTTCGTAAAGAAATTGTTCAATAATGTCGCTTAAAAATGAAAAAATTGGTATAATTGGCAGGTAATAAAATTTAATTGAATTAACAATTTTTAATTATATTTAAGTTTAAATTAAAAACATTTAATAATCTCTTTTTATATTTTATTCTATTAAAAATCATTAATCAGTGAATAGTAAGTAATATATCTAGTTACGTATAATTACATTTAATATAATTTCGCTTTATAAAGCCTCTCGCTTTTTAAAATCTTAGTAGTTGTTTACAAAACATTAATCAGCATCATAAAATGAATGCGTGAAAACTTTCCATGCCGTTTTAATCATGTTATATATTCCAATAATAAAATATACTATAATTTCTACGAAGCAGTAATATAACTCATGGCGTTTATTGATTCAATATCGATTACAAAACACAGTATAAAAATTACGTTTACCTCCAGAAACATTGAAGTGTTATTAGGTCATTAAAAACTGAATCACTGATACCACGGGTATTTTCTATGATAAGATAAAGTCGAAGAATTAAATAATAGATAGAGTAAAATAACATCTTCGCTTTTAGACATAATATTTCGAAATTTGATATTTTTAAATTATAAAATGCAATCTTATCGACAGTACAAATTTAATGGAACACTGTGCACAATTAATATTAACAATATTAATTTTATTTTATTATTATTTTAGTGGCTTAATCGGTCGCAGTTGGGCCATGCTTTTTGCCAGTGTGGGCTACGAGGTAATTATCTATGATATCGTTAAAGAACAAATTTCTCGAGCGCTTGATGATATTCATGACCAGTTGAAACGACTTGAAAGTGGCGGCCTCTTACGAGGCACGCTTAACGCGGACCAACAATTTAATTTAATTAAAGGTTCGCATTCATATTATACAACTAATATCAACGGCAATAAAGTATAAATGGCAACTGCAATTTACTTAATTAAATCTCCAAATATAATATTATATTCTGTGAACGAAAATATTTTTTTACTAGTACTTTCTAAAATACTGTACTATAAACTACCATTTGCAGTTAACCATTTTTACCTCGCTGTCGTTGATATGTAATTAGCACAATAAATGAAACAATTACAAAAAGATGCTAACAAAATATCTAATCATAGGATCTTCAAACTTGGCTGAAACTGTAAAAGGAGCTAAACTTGTACAAGAATGTGTTCCTGAAAATCTTCCATTAAAACTCAAGGTTTATAATGAACTTGACAAAGTAGTGGATGACAAAGTTATTCTATCTTCTTCGACGTCAACTTTCCGTCCATCTTTATTCAGTAAAGACTTAAAACATCGCGAACAAATAATTGTGTCACATCCCGTATGTATCGTACATGTATGAGCTACATATATGTATACTGCAGAGTTTTGTTATATGGCCTTGGACAAAAACTATGCAGTTTGATTACCGACAATCTCTTACTAGCGGTGTAGGAATCTCAATTTTGTAATGTATGATAAAAAAATTTACAATTTATTTTCTCATATGTTGCAAGAATGCCGCTAGTGTGCGTGGAGTCATCATTCGGCCATATAACGAAACTGTAGTGCATATTATGTATCTATGATAACTGAAAAAGAAGATGTAAATAATATTTATTTTTTAAACATAGGTGAACCCTCCATATTATGTACCACTTGTAGAAATTGTGCCTGCACCCTGGACCCGTGCTGACATACCCGCAAAAACAAAGGCTATTATGACTGAAATAGGGCAAAAACCTGTTGTGTTGTCTAGAGAAATTGATGGTTTTGCTCTTAATCGAATACAGTATGTAATGATTGCTACTATTTTTATTTCTTAACTATTTGATAAAAAAACTCACTGTATATTTAGATACGCGATCTTAAATGAGGCGTGGAGATTAGTAGCTGATGGAGTATTAAGCGCTAAGGATATAGATGCAGTTATGAGTGAAGGTCTTGGAATGAGATACGCGTTCCTCGGTGCCTTTGAAGCCGCTCACTTAAATGCTGAAGGTACATATCTTAGAATTAAATAAATATATTAAATAATTTTTTAATATTATTACAATTTACTTTAGGAATGAAAAAATACTGTGAGACGTATAAAAATTCGATTTACGACGTGAGCATGACATTTGGTCCTGTACCTAAGTTCGAAGGCGAGATGGCAGAAAAAATAAGTAATGAATTAAACGAAATGTCTCCACTGGATAAACTTCAAGAAGCGCGTGCTTGGAGAGACGAAGCTTTAACAAAATTATCTATATTAAAGAAAGAATTAGCCAAAAAAAAATAAAATAATTACTAAATTAAAATTATATTATGACGCATAAAAGCGTTTTTCTAAACTATATACAGATTTATAAATAAAAATATTGAATTATGAAAATCTTTTTAAGCGTTTCAATATTTGATCATCACCAACATTTATTCATATTTATTTTTAATTATGATAGTGTTACTAGCAAATATCTGAAATAATTTTTCATTAAATTGTATTTTTAGGTAGAATTAAAAAATGAATTGTTTAAAATTAAATTTTTTTTATTTGTATACTATCAGGATTTTAACGTTTTCCTCCAACACGTGGGGCCGACTTTTGCGTTACTTTTGCAGCTTTATGTTTTGGTACAGCCTTAGCCTTGGGAGGAACAACTGCTTTCTTTGTTGCTTTTGCTGCTTTCTTTTGTTCCTTTGCAGCTCTAAAATTAAAGATTAGCACAAAATAAATATTGGATAAAAAGCAGTAATAAAATATATGAAAATATTAAATCTGTATGAACCCGCAAAAGCCAAACAGTGTATATAATGTATACAATTCTGGGTGAAGCAATTCATTTGCTCTAAGACATTCTGAAAGTGAATGTGATATAAAGTATCACATCTACGGAACAGATGTCTATCATATATTTTTCCATCAACAATTAACTACAAAAATATTAGTTTTCAATTGTTCATTTATACTTTATAGCTATGAAGTTATAACTACCAAATTTCTGTCAGTATTAATAAAACTATACTTACTTAATAGCTTGTTCTCTTTGCGCTTTACGAATTTCTGGTTTCATGTTACGTTTTGCCAATATATCTGTAAGTGATGCACCTACAATAGCACGTTGGAACTTTTGTGTACGTCTAGTCCTCTTCTTTGCTTGCTCCTCTTCCTGACCTTTCTTATGTTTTCGTCTGTAATGTAAATTTGGGTTGTATTACTCTGCTATATATTTTCAACAATATAAAAGGAATTAAGACTAAATACCTGTATAATACGGTCCATGTTACTTTACGTGGATTCCTTCTCATCAAATGGGCAGACTCACATTTTGAATTTAAAAATGTGAATGTCTAAAATACCACGGAGGTTAAGGTTGACACATGACAACAATGATCTTATAAAAGTAACAACAACTTAATAATACCGAAATAAATATGAATTAACATAAGAAATGTATTATACTTACTTTTCCATCTACTTTGACCATGGTTTTACCATGGCCCGGATATATTTTATATCCGCTGTATGCACAAAGTCCAATCCTGAAAAGATTGACGACATACTCATTAAAAATATTTTATAGATATAACTGCTTGTGTATAATGAAGGCATTTTAAACGATTGCACTTAAATTAGTAGATGCCATCACAATAAAAATTTTACTTACTTCATGTTGAATTATAAAGAACAGACGGATTCAAACAAAATGGCCGAAACCTTCAACTTTCAATATGTTCACATGTCCATTCAATACTGCCAACATTTTAAAAGAAAAATTTCTGAAAATGTTGAAGGGGCTGCTATTTGGCCATTAATGTCCCTAGGGAAGCCAGAATTACACTAAATTGTATATGCAGTTTTTACTTGCAAGAGCTTTTTGAAGTTGGAAGTTTGCAAGTAATTGCATAACCAATAAATATGTAATTGTAAATAGGATAAACACTGCTTTTAAATAAAGCAATAATAATTACAGAAGTTGACAAAACTAATATCATTAGTGATACTTATTATAACCGATGAATTAAGCTGAAAAAATTTGTATTAAATAGTCATTAATTGTCAAACGATACCACGTGTTCCATCATTTGTGTTTAAGGTTAAATTTTTCTAATACTGAATTTGTAATTTTTAAAATGGAAAATACAGATATTGAAGGATTTGCCGACCCCGAGAAAATAAACGATGATGAGGAAGAAAATGAAATTACTAGTATTAAAAAGAAAGCATGTAGTAAGTCAGGAGGTTTTCAATCGATGGCCCTTAGCTACCCTGTATTGAAAGGTATTCTAAGAAGAGGATATAAAATACCAACACCTATACAGCGGAAAGTAAGTTATGGAGTTTAATTGCTGACATGTACAAACTGTAATTTATTGTATATTGTGCTTCCACAGACAATTCCATTAGCATTAGAAGGACGCGATGTGGTTGCAATGGCTAGAACTGGTAGTGGAAAAACAGCTTGCTTTCTGATTCCCTTATTTGAAAAACTTAAAGCAAGACAAACAAAAATTGGGGCAAGAGCTTTAATTTTATCACCAACTCGAGAATTGGCATTACAAACATTAAAGTTTATAAAGGAATTAGGGAGATTCACAGGCTTACAAGCTGCCGTAATATTGGGAGGTGATAATATGGAAAATCAGTTCAGTACAATACATGGAAATCCTGATATTTTAGTGGCAACACCAGGCAGATTCTTACACATATGCATTGAGATGGATTTACAATTAAATAGCATTGAATATGTAGTTTTTGATGAAGCTGATAGGTAAAAAATTTATTTTCAAATTATGTGTTTAATGTTCCCTAAATTATGTAAATTATATTTTATAAATTGAATTACAGATTATTTGAAATGGGTTTTGGTGAACAGATTAATGAAATTACAAATAGATTACCAGAATCTAGACAAACATTATTATTTTCTGCAACACTGCCCAAAGTTCTAGTAGATTTTGCAAAGGCTGGATTAACTGATCCTGTTTTACTACGTTTGGATGTTGACAGTAAAATACCAGAGGAATTAGCACTTTCATTCATTGTATGCCGTCCAGAAGAGAAATTAGCAGTACTGTTGTGTTTATTAAAAAATGTTATCAAAAGTGATTCTCAGACAGTAATATTTGCTGCAACAATGCATCATGTGGAATATATTCATATGGTACATAATTCAAATCTAAAATTTAATACTAATATATTACTTTGTGTATTAAATTGTATTTTATTAATAGGTATTAGATAAAGCAGGAATTTCTAACACATTTATTTATTCTAACTTGGATCCATCAGCTAGGAAGATAAATGCAGCTAAATTTCAAACTAATAAAGTTAAAGTACTGGTGGTAACAGATGTTGCTGCCAGAGGTTTGGATATTCCACATTTAGATAACGTAATCAATTTTAATTTCCCTGCTAAGTCCAAGCTCTTTGTACATAGAGTAGGTAAGTGTATGAATTATAATCTTTAAGTTTTATTAAAGTTTTATAAAATTATTAATTCTTTGTAACAGGACGTTGTGCACGAGCTGGCCGAACTGGAACTGCTTATAATATTATAGGTCCAGATGAATATGCTTACCTTCTAGATTTACATCTTTTCCTAAGTAGACCGTTACACATTATTCCACCTTCTGGCACTGCAGAAGGTACTGAAGGTGCTATTGGTAAGATGCCACAATCAATGATAGAAGAAGAACTTGCTGAATTGATAAATTGGCACAATTCTTCCACAGATCTGGTATATGTTTCCAATGTACTTGTTTAATTAGTTATATTGTTATAATTAATTGTAATATTATAATAAGATTTTCTTTTAATGTAGCAAAATATGGAGAAAGTTTGTGAGAACGCATACAAACAATACATTCGATCACGACCGACAGCTTCGTCAGAAAGTATTAAGAGAGTGAAAGAATTAAATATTAATCAAGCAGGTGTTATACCAGAATATTCTGATGTTTCCTCTAATACTCTGAATTTGTTGTCGAAAATAGTAAATTATAGACCACAAGGAGTAAGTAAATTTTTAATTTTAGATATATTAACCATGATATATTATTAATTCTTATTGTTAATTCTATTGTTTAATAGACGATATTTGAAATTGGAGCAAAAGCATCCTCCACTGACTATCAGGTCATGAAGACAAAACGCTCATTGCATAAACAAAATATTAAAAATTTTTATAGGAAAACAGAAGAGTTAATATCTAAGAAAAAGTTAGAAGGTAAATATAAATTAAAGAAAAAGAACTTTTATAACAATATATTAGTATTTTAATGATTAGTAATATGTTACAGAATCATCAAAAAAAGTAGATCTCCCCTCAAGTACAGCAGATGAGATTAACGCAACATTTAATACAATTGTTCTCCCAAAGAAAAGAAATTTCAATGATTTGTATAAACCACCTAAAAAGAAAAAGCGATCCGTAACGCGAGATGAAGACTTTTTCATTCCATATGCTGCTCCAGACAAACATACAGAAGATGGGTATGTTTCTTATTTTAACAATATTAATTGTTAATAAATAATACTGATGCATATTGTTACAGTTTAGCTGTTAATTCTTTCAACACGGAAGCAGACAAAGTACAAATGGATCTAACCGCGGATAATGAAGAATCCCAACGTCTTCACTCGCAACTCAAAAAATGGGACCGCAAGAAAAAGAAAATGATCACGATTGATGACGTATGTATCCCTTTACAAATTTATAATATCACATTTTAAACTAACTGTTTTGTTTAAAGGGTGGAAAGGCTAAGAAAATACGTACAGAGTCTGGTGTTTGGATACCTGCTAGTTACAAAACAAATCGTTATTCGGCCTGGAAAGAAAAGAGCAAAGCAGACGCAGCAAGCGACGATGACAGCGAAGATGATACTTCACAAAGGAAAAAATGTATACGAGAATATTATATAAATTTGATATTGTTTATTATTTTCTATATATGTACTGTATAAATTTATTTTTGTTACATTTTAGATCAACCACCAAATTGGTCACGTCGCAACAAGAAGACGAAAGAAAAGATTAAACCAAATAAGGAATTAAAGAGACCAGAACAGATTCTGAAAGCACGGAAATTATTAGAAAGAAAGCGCCATAGAAATAATGGGAAAGGTCGGAAAGGTCAAAAGAAGGGCGGTAAAAGACATTGAAGGGTTCTTAATGTAAAAATTGTTGATATTAAATTCTTTTATATTGAAACCCATCGATATCCTTGTCATGTTTTCTTAACACTTACCTGTATGTACACAAAAGTTTTCTTGGAAAATATATCGAATAGTTACAAGTGCAATAATATTAAAAAATTAAATTAAATAAGACGTTATACTCGCGATGAACTTTTATCGCGAAATGATCATGTAGACTATTGTACAATTTACGAAGATTTCAGTTGCATCATTGCAATTCTCTTGCGTAATTGTTGGGTTATACGTCAGAAGCTCATTACGTGAAGTTGATAGGCGGTTTTCTGTAAAATGATGGAAGCCTCAGAAAGTTGCACGAACCGCGAAGAATACAAACTCCCTAGCAGCCTCGTATCATCTTTATAAAAAAAAAACAATAAAATTATAAAATATTAACAGTGCTTTATATTATAATGCATTTAATATTTTATTATCTAATACATGAATGATAAATGGAATTTGATTTAATACTTTAAAAATAAAAAATAATCTCTTTATCACAAATAGATTAAATTCTTGTCAAAACAATGCAATAACATGTTTCCAAATTGTGTGTAAATAAAAACTTTTCTAAATTTATAAATACAAATATATATGACTAGATAATAAATAGTTTAAATATGACATTTGACGTCATTTAAAAAATTAATATGGTCGATTGGGGAAATATATTTCTCCTAAAAATATTAACAAATTTATTTTTCCTGTTTATCAGTTTACAATTCCAGAATTCTAAAAAACGAAATAAAAGAACGAGAACTATGATTCTGTACATGAGTCATAAAAGACAACTGGTTAGGCGTCAGTTTTGGTGCTATGTAAAAGTGCTGATACCCAATCGTTATGAATCATGTAAAATGCTGGTCACGGTTTATTTATATGTATACGTATCTCTTCATATAAATACCATTTCATAAATTACATTTGCCGGTTTGCAAATTATCTAAATTTTAATTCGCATCAATCTTCCTCTGTGATATTCAAGCTATTATTACAAACAAATTAATCAAAACGATAAGTAAAATTTTGATGTATAAATCCAGTGAAAATTGAAAAATTTTCAATGGAAGGTTTGACCCTGTGACTAATTTTAACAGATTTTTAGCACTATTTATCGGGAGAGACATCCTTCGTGAGACAGTTTAATTGATAATCAATCAATTATTGACAAGACATCGGAGAATACGGTCATTCAGTGAAGAACGTCCGCGAAAACAAGAATATCCTGACAATTATTCACTGCAATATTGATCGATGCAAATTATGCAGATGGTTCAAGTGTTGAAAACCTGGGGCAAGGTCGCGGCAGTTACTCGCACGCGTACTTCAATGATCAAAGCTGCTTTGAAATGATCAATTTCTTGATGTCACTGAAGTCTAAACGAAACGATTTCAAGCACCGTTTAAGTCTATCTACAAATATTTGTTTCATACGATTCACCATTTTGGTAACACGACACTTCCATTCAGATTTTCCTTCTGAACTATAAATTTACTTTTTTTTAAGATATGAATAAATATGAGTTCTACAGGAATGTTTCCTCGAATACCTTTCGAAATTCAGTCATTTGGAAAGTCCAATGTACATTATCGATTAAAAGTTTGAGACCACTCGAACAAGTTCTTTATTAACAATTTAATTAGGTTACATTTGGTCGTGATTCAAAGTTAATACGAAGAAAGATTCTAAGTAACTAAGAACGATTCTAGATTCTAAGTTTGTACCTTGCAACATTGTTATTGGTACTTTGATACTGTGTACTCGGTTATCAGAGTTTCAATTAGTTTATGACGAAGCTTTATGTTTGTATCTAATATCTAATGTTAATATAGAATCGTCGAGATAGATGAAACGTTAAGAGTTTCAATAAGTGTACCACATTTATCCAACGTCCACACTTCTTTTCGAAAAGGAAAATAAATGATTCAAAGATAAATTGATAGTTGGAAAAAACATTTTGAAAAACCTTCTGAGGTATTTTGATTTCGGACAATTTTCAGACAAATGTGTTAATTCGTAGACAGTCACTAAATGTTCTCTGTAGACAAAATATATCACTTAGTTTTGATATTAAATATAGTACAAAGTACATACGGGACAATTGTAAAATTGCGGCCGGTAGTGGATCAAGGTCAAGGTCGGACTGTACGAGCTGGAATTTGACGAGTATGTAGTGCAGTCTCGTTATATGGTCCCACTTATATGGCCTGCGAGCGACAGCAATCATCAAAGTCAAAAATTAAAAAATTTTTAATTGACAAATATTCAAGTTCACTAATTGACACATTGACAAATTGACAAATATTCAAGTTCACTAATTGACACATTGACAAATTGACAAATCTTTAAATTGACAAATTGATAAATTGACACATTGACAAATTGATAAATTGACAAATTTTCAGATTTAGGAATTTAAACATTTCAGACAAAAAAATTTTCAAATGTAGGAATACATAAAATTTTTAAATTACACTCATGGTGACAGGGTGATGACAGTCAAGGAAGTTCCGCTTATATGGCCCATTTTGCACTCTCAACGATGATCATATATCGAGACCACGCGATGCAGAATATCGAAAAGCGGCCACGTATCAATGCAGGAACAACGAATTTATTCGTGAACCGCTTCTCGATCGGGAATTCGTGCCAAGGTGGTCGCAGCCGTTACTCTCACAAAACCGACCACGATCCTGATGACATCGATCGTAGAAATAAGTCTATTCGTAACCAGACGGTCACGTCTACGATCTACCGTTCACCATCCGTACCGTTGCTGTCTCTCCTTTACGTCACACGGTTAAAAATACAAGCTACAACTCAACCCGGAGCCCGCGTGCATTTTGGCAAAACTCGAGACCTTTTCGTGAAAGTAGTCAGTCACGTTGCACACGCACTCGTACCAAGAAAAAGAGACAAAAAAAATTTCCTCGTGCACTTTGCACATATTTGTCATCCGATGACGAACACGGAGATCTTCGCCGGCGCAAAGCAAACGTGATATCTGGGTCTCCAATTAACACGCTCCTCGATGAATTTGTTTTGATAAGGATTCGCTATGATGACGTAGGCAAATTGTTAAGAAACGCATGTGACCTTCTCGAACAACGTATATGCGTACGTTTTCGAAGAGTGGAGGACTGTATTCAGTCGGGTACAATCTTTGTTCAAGATCAAGATTAGCACAATTTTTAAATTTCTTTTTTCTCAAGTTTTCAATATTTCAAGTAGCTAGATTTATAAGTTATCGAATATCTATATTCTCGAAAAAGTTTTATTTTCAAGTTTCCATGTGTGCAACTTTTACGCTTTCAAACCTATTAAATTCACGAATTCTCAAATTTATTAAATTTGCAAATTTTCAAATCCCTAATATTTATAAATTGTTTATCTTCTCAAACTTCCAATCCTCCAAATTTCGGAAGCTTCGATTTTCCAAATTCCTAAATTTGTAAATTCTACACTTCTGGATCTTGAATTGTCCAAATTTTCGAATTCTAATTTTCACCTTTGTAGACCTCCAAATTCCAATGCCACAGTAATCCTAGATTTCACTATACCTAGTCCCTTATACCACAATATCCCTAGATTCTAATAACACTAGATCCGAATACCCTTACATACCTAGACCCTACTTCAGTATCTCTAGAATTGTAGATCTCATTATTCCAATATCCTCAAACTTCGGTATTCGAATATTACTAGATTCTAGTATACCTATATCTCCAAAATCCCTAGAACCCGATATTCGAATATTCCCAGATATTACAATCTCAACATCCTATCTCCAAATTTCAACACCCCTTAATTCGTTCCAACTAAATTCCATCTAGAAGCCTTTACTAAAAATGTCTTAATTCCCAAAAATCACTAAAAGTCAAAATAAAGTATTTCTTCTTCTATAAGTCATTTCCCCTAGGAAATACAGATTTGCTCTTGACTGTACATGTATAACATGTAACGCTTTTGAAAGGAGTGTTTTAGCATATCCTTCAAAACTATTTATATTTTTAAATATCAAATGACCATCGCATTTGATACCCAGTGAAAGCAATTCGTTGATAGAAAGCGCAGGAGAATAATTAAATGTAGATATTCCGTGGCGGAACAAGTGTAATGTTCACTTACAGTGCACGATCACTCATTTGGCTTGGAATTGTAACACTCGGAAATTAATTGCGTTCTTACCTGCGAACGGCTCGTTTACGATACGATACACCGATTACGCAACATCCACGATTTCGACAGATCGAAATTTCTACGAAGAACGAAACAGAAGAATACGTGTAGAGGGAATGTTCGAGGTTTAATTAAGCAACGAGTTTCGCATTATCTGGATTACACGACCCATGAAATTTCGTAGGAACGTTGGAACAATCGTTGCCTCTTTCTCGTTTTAACACTGGGGAGATGTAGTACATAGTGAACTACATAGTGTAGAATGTGGATGAATGTAACGCAATTTTTATACAGATTACGAGTGAGACGTTATTGCGTGGGCAAGTTATTACTTCTAAGTTCTTATTTCGTAGGTTTGACGAAACAGAAGTCGAAAGTTTCGAGTCTGTCTACCGTCGCCGACTTTCTGGACAAATCTTCCGTAAATGGAGCACACGAGAATGTGCATATTTTCATATTCAATTATTAGATCCAAGTTTAACGATGTACATATGTAGGGTGGTTCAAAAAACATTTCTTTCTCTCCCTCTACAAATTTAATATACAGAATGTTTCACGACTAATGTTCTTAAAATGGGAGGTAGCTGACGTGATTCTGAATAAGATTTTCCTTTGCAAAAATGGGGTTTGAAGCTTCGTTTTTGAATTATTAAGGAAAAACACGGGAGAGTGATAGCTTCGAACATACAGCTGAGCGCGATTATGAACAAATGCCTTTACTAGGCTCGAAGCTGTCGCTCCCGCGTCTGCGCATGCGTAATCCTCGCGCTTTGATTGGTCCGTGTTTTCTCTTAATAATTCAAAAACGAAGCATCAGACCCAATTTTTGCAAAGGGAAATCTTA